TTGATGGGCTGATCCAATTAGTTAGCTTTGGGTATGATAATAGCCGCTGGTGAGGCGTACGGAGCAGTAATTATCTGTAGACACCAACAACATATTTAAACGATACATATATGTGTTAATGCTATAGTTTTTTTTTTGCAGCAATAAGAGTGCTTATAATTTTCTAAATTACTAGCTTTTTCCCGCAGTTCCGCCTGCGTGGAATTCGGCTTACGTTTATGTAACAAAAATATACAAATTATATCACCAAAAATACTAAATTTTAAAAGTTGCTTATATCCTCTATGTTCCAGAACATGGCCAATGTGTCTCAATTCAACTAATTTGGCCATTTCAGTATGAAAAATCTAACATTTATTCGAATTGTTTTTAATGGTGACAATTCTTTTAAAAAATGTGTCTGAATAAAATTATATACCAAAATTTTTTGGTCTCATTTCATATTTCATTTAGCTTATGCAGAACAAATAGATTGAAATTTGTGAAAGGTGCAAACTCTTTACTTTAAAGACGAAATGTTTATTTAAATTCACACTTCTTTCGTTTGGCATTTATCTTATAATATTTCATTAAATTGAATTTAAAGTTCAAACAGGTAATCGTCTTCAATATAAAGCTGTTTTGAACATATTTGGTTCTGCATCCGTATTGTTATATTTCCCTAAAGTACCTGATCTAATCAGAATTTTACAGGTGACAACCCTATTTGAAAAATATTTCCGAAAAAAGGTTTCTCATAACTTTTTAGAATGACGTGGAATACCTGATTTAGCTTATTATAAAATAGGCTTTAAATTTTAAACAAATGTTAACCCTTTAAAAAATATTTCGAAAATAAATATTTCGTAAACCTCATTCGTTGGGCACCCATATTGCAATAACAATGTATTACTCTTTAATAAAATTTAATTAAAATTTTAAATAGGTGGCATTGCTCTTCAAAATGTTTTCGCAATAAAGCTTCTTTATTTTTTTGTCCTTTCGCATTCATATTGTGAAATGTTTTTGAGCTTATAATTTGAAATAGAATTTTACTGTTCAAGCAAATGGCAACCCCCTCAAAAATATATAATAATAATACATTTGTAGCGTGCGCCTTGATGTTGTCACACAAATGATTCCAGATTATAAGCTATCTCACAAATTTTCACATTTATAACATTTGTAAAATTTCGTTTGACTTGTCATTTAAATTAATCTTCTTCAGTTCGTGGAAAGCCTCGTAAACAAACAAACTTTCGAAGAGATACAGCTTTCGTAAAGCCTCTCTCCCTTTATAACCATTTTAAAATATTTCGCTTAAAACTATATTCATAAATTACTTTGTTGGGATCAAATTACTTCACATAATTCTAATAAATTCACATTTTCTTTCATAATTTCTATAGATGTGATTAGCATGTGTACGTATGAGTGTGTGGTTTGTACTTGATTTCAAAAAACAAATGGTTGCATACCTTTAGGCATTTTTTCAAATTTACTCATCGGTGGGTGCTAAAAAAAAATGAAATTTTTTTTCTTTTTTTGGTTCTGGATTTATGATAGATTATCTCATTTATATTTAATTTATTGGCAGATTTTACAAATCGAAGTTACTTGATTTCAGCATGATTTGCTTATAAATTACAAATGAGCCGTAAATCACGATAATGTGAATATGCTTTAACTATTAACTTATTAAAAATTGCTTTTAACAATTGAAGCTCATAGTTCAAAGATTTGTTTATTAAACTATATGAAGCTATGCTAAATAAATGCGCAAAATTTGGGCAATATGAGCCTCTTACTTGGATATCTGTAGAGGATGGAAGTTACTCATACGCCACCGCCTCTAAATTACACTATGTGACAATTACAGTTACATATGTCAAACCGAAAAATTGCATATTCAGAACTTTCACATGTCCAATTCTGTAACACCTTTGCTGTTAACCCGATACGCTAGCTTTATATGTAAATATGCATTGGTGTAAGACCTGTGAATTAATGAGAATATCTTTTATAATCATATTTTGATGCCCTTTAAATATGTCCTGCAAATTGGGTTCGAATATTATTACTTCTAAATTTTCTATGTTTATTCCTTATTATTCTGTATATTTTCACGTTATTGCATTCACATGCCTATTCGACTTCTGCTTCAAAGTTGACTTGTGTATTTGCCGCGCACCTTGCAAACCACAATTGTCACTCATGATATTTTATCGCCTGTTAACGACATATGCAAAACATGCTGCTACAACGGTTCAGGCGCATGCGCAAAAGCCAACTAACCGCAGAAAACTCATAGAAATTTGACTCAATTGCAAAGTGCATTGCCTATAAATTGCAACTTGCATATGCAAAACCCAATACTACAACAACAGCCGCCTATAGAAACAAAAACAACTACAGTCTTATACAAATCCAACAAGAGTATATGTATCTATGTAGTTTAAAAGCATTCAATCCGACTTCTAGACGCCAGCAATACATTTCAGGCTTCAAATTCGACTTATTTTTTCGTGATTTGAAGTGCTCCGCTCTTTGGCCGCCACGTGTGGGCGGTTGCCTAGCGCCTTGATGGCGACGTTCTTTTACTACCGCTGCTGCGAAATACCAGCACTGCTGCTGTAGCTGCAAACGGTTTTTGTTGCGCAAGCAGTTTGATAGTTTGCCCAAAGCTGCTGCTATTTGGCTGCGTTTTCCGCTGCCACTTCAGCCCCAGCATTTCAAGCAACCGCGTGCCAAGTGGGGAACCGCCATTTGTTGTACGATTCACTACCGCCGCGAGCGTTATTTGTTGGCTGCCTGACCGTCGTCGATTTGGCCGATTTGATGGCGTTTGCAGGCAGCTTAACAAGCAACAAAGCAGCTGTTGATGGCATTGTTGTCGTCGCTGTTCATGCATTGCAGGGTGCAAGCGTGTGCGCACTCTCACGCATAAATTTTGCATTCGCATTCGCAATTAAACGGCAGCAGCCAGCACCGACTTACCGACAGACTTGGATGGGGACGGTGGAGCAGGTGCAGAAAGTCAGGCTGCATGTTGGTCAAGTAGTTAGTGTAGAAGTCAGTTAGACAGACTGTCAGTCAGTATGTCGGCAATTGCTGTTTGCAGTGCCGAAAACTTGTTCGGTTCGGTTTTTTTCTCATTTGGCAATTTGCATATTTTCGTAACCGTATTTATTTATTTTTCATCGAAAAACTACTTAATTTTGGGTTATTAAAAATGTGTGGCACAAACTAAAAGTGAGGCAGTTGGTTGTTGAATATTTTCATAATCGTTCTGGCAAGTAATTTTTTTTTCTTTTTTTCGGCATATTTCGCCGACTGAGATAGTGGTGGCGCGCGACACACTTGTTGACGCCTGCGCAAATACATTTCTCAGGTGTATGTACATAGTTTTGCTGATTTAAATTTTGGGTTAAGAGCTGCTGACTTGCCGTTAAATGTTTTTAAGCCTTTGTAGTTTATCACTTAATACATTTTCTACGCGCCCTCCTCTGGGTATGTAAATTTGAAACAAAAGGATTAGTTTGTTTAAGCTTTTCACCTACATCGTAGATATGGACGCCATGCTCGCAAGCGTTTGAAACTTGCATTTGACTTGGTTTGTTCCACCCACCTTCATGCCAAACGAACTGCGTAACGCTAAGAGTTATGGCATTGAAATTTTAAATGCTAAAAATATTTGAGTGTAACCTTGATGGCGTTAATATAAGTTGAAATGTGTTAATTTTATTTAAACTACGCTTAAATTGTAATTTGTAATTGCATTTGATTCAAAACGAGCCTACACATTTCGTGTGTTGTGAACAATAGTTTAGAGATTGTATGAGGTAGAAAGATAATAAAAAGGGAAGCTGCTGTCAGCTGCAAGGTTTCAGGGGACAGGAGAATAAAAAAAGATTCTGAAAAATAAAACGTGTATACGCTATGTTGCCACACTTACAGTTTCAACTGCAAATTACAGTGTTCGACGAAGAATGCGTCTTACGTTTCGATATGGAGGCTATGCTCAAATGTTGCAGTTGTAATTTTTGGAGCTTCACATAGTCTATATTGCACGAGAACTAATGACGCGAGTTTAAAGAAAAGTGTGGCGTTTCAAAGATAAAATCCCGAACGAAAAATGACACTGAAGATGGCATGAAAATGGAAGGGATGACGGAAATTCGTTCCAAAATAAATTATAAAATCCCAAACCTATCGACAGACTCATTTTCGTAAGTAACCAATTCGGTTTCTGTTGCAAAAACAACGATAAATATTGAGCCTTTAAAGTGCTCTAATAAGCTTTAGGGCCCCTTGAACATAAAACGAACTGAAGGAGCTTTACAAGGAGATCAATATTATTTTTCACTCTACTGAAGAGTATTGTCTGGACTACTCATAGGAGACCTGCCCAACACATCAACTAATAGCCTGACAATGACCGTTTTCATTTTGAGTTTGCAGCGCTTGTCTTGCCGAGCAGCTCAGACAATCAAGACATTCAAAATAGACGTCAAATATATTGTCTTGACGTAGGTAAAAAAAAAACCACTGGAGTAATATACTTTCAATTCGAAGCCTATGAGTAGACAGCACTAAAGTAAAGCTTATTTCTTAGGGAAAACTGCACACAGCAACGTAGATTTGAACCGACCATGCTGTTTGTTGTTTGATGTCAGTAACGTATTCGCAAGTGTTCTACTTTCCCACAAGCATGGCATATGTTTGCGCTCGTTTATAAACTTGTCCACTCCACACCTGATTAAAATTAAAATAAGTAAAATTAAAAGTGCCCAAAAGCGTTCACAACCACTCTTAAAACGCATAAATCCCTCAAGCATTTATATAAGCAATAAATTTTCTTAAATTGTATGTATGTATGTACATATACATATATTTCGTTTGTAATATATGTATGTATGTATATTTTTTTTTATTTAGCAAACATGCACTTTTTTAACCATTCGCATGAAATCCAAAAATAACCAATTATTTTCGTCTTTTTTATTGTCACACTCACACAGCGACTCAATTTATCGCATGTCCTTCGATTTGGAGCCACTGGAACGTGCCATTTGGGCTGCACCGCCCGAACAGATCGGCATTTGTCAGGTAAAAGGCCAGTCGGAGCGTTTGTGTCGCAACTATGTGCGCGTACTGCAGAGCTATGGTGAGAATCAGTTGTACGCGTGTGGGACGAACGCCTTTCAGCCGCAATGTTCATGGCGCCAGGTTGGTACACAGACACATGTCTTAAGAAAAACGAAAAATTAAAAAAAAAAAATAACTAAACACAAACTAACTACAATCAATGCAACCAGTCATCAAGCGTTGGCATAGGTCCACCAAAAAAAAAAAAAATGAAAACAAATCGAAACAGCAAATAAAATGAACAGCTAGTGCAATAAACATTAGCAGCAAATATTAGCAAGTTGCAAGTTGCATGTAAGCTGGTGGGATTATTAGCTGTTTCGTTTGTTGCAACAAGTCAACTGTCGATTGGTTGTTTCGTTGCTCGCCTGTGCTTGATTGTTAGTGGTTTGCTGGATTAGCTGTATTTGCTTAATTCGCTAGGCAATCAATAATTCATTGCATTTCGCAATCTCTTTTCTTGTATTGACTTTTTTCACGCTTCATTACCAATGCTTTGTTTGTGCTTGTACAGATGGAGAACCTTACTATTGTGGCCTATGATAATGGTGTGGGAAAGTGTCCCTTCAATCCGCATTCAAGCATAACGAGTCTAATGTCCAGCACTGATAAGATGTTTGTGGGCACAGCGACCGACTTCTCAGGTGGCGATGCGGCGATTTTGCGCACCGAGGTGCAGCCAAAGAAAATCGTAAGTTGTCGGAGATGTTGCCGCCACGCTCTGATGAATGCATAATAATATTTTGATTTTTTTTTTGTATCTTGCTTTCAATCAGTTTGGCTATCGACATATTGTACGTACTCAGCAATACAACAACAACTGGTTGAATAATCCGCATTTCGTGGGCAGCTTCGAGGCTGGCAATTTCGTTTATTTCCTATTCCGTGAGCCGGCTGTGGAGTATAGCAATTGGGGCAAGGTTGGTTCTGATAGAAATTGGAATTCATAAGTCCTAATTATATTTAAAAAACCACACTTCCTTACTTACAGATCATCTATTCGCGCATTGTGCGGGTTTGCAAAAATGACGTTGGTGGCGACCACATTTTGAAAAACAGTTGGACTTCGTTCGTTAAGGCGCGCCTGAATTGCTCACTACCCGGCGAGTATCCGTTTTATTTCGATGAGATACAAGGCATGACCTATTCGGCGGATGAGGATGTTCTCTATGCGACTTTTACTACACCAGAGTAAGTAGGCTCATGCTGTTTTGAATTAACCCAAATTTATCGAAAAATATCTTGGTAACTCTCTCTCTCTCTCTCTCTCTCCCTCTCATTCGTTTCTCACAGAAATAGCATTCACGGTTCAGCGATATGTTCATACAATCTCTCGGCAATAAATGCCGCATTCGATGGCCCGTTCCGCTACCAAGACTCTGCCGATTCCGACTGGCGCATTGTAGATATGCCTCATCGTAGCCAGTTCCAATGCGAAACACCCTCCCCAGATATGCGCTACAAGCGTCTACTCGAGTCATCTAAATTCCAACTTATGGCCCAAGCCGTACAACCAATGACCGAGCAACCTCTATACTACTCCAAACTGGAACGTTTCCATCATATAGCTTTGGATACATTACAAACAAAAACCGAAAAGGTCCATGTCTTGTTCGTGTCCACCGATGACAAGCGCATCAAGAAACTTTCCGTCAAACATCAGATAGAAGAGCGTCGAGCGCAAACGTGCTTAGTTGAGGTGTGGCAGTCGGCGGAGTATAGTGGCGCTGATGGTGAAATTTTAAAAATGGAGTACCTCAAGGTAACTGAGTCGCTGTATCTCGGCACTGAGCAGTCACTAGTGCGTATACCGGCGCAGCGTTGTAGTCGGCATGTATCGCAGAGCAGTTGCTTGAACGCTATGGATCCATATTGCGGTTGGAATGAGCTGATCGAGCGTTGCACGCCCCAAGAATTGGTGCTGCAATTAAATAAATTCTGGCTACAACCCGACACCTTACAGTGTCCCATCTTGAATGCACCCATCGATGGCGCCTGGTCCACCTGGTCGGAGTGGTATAAATGCAAGAAACATGGCGATGATGATGGCAACTGCATGTGCCGCACACGTGAATGCAACAATCCGCAACCGCAAAATGGCGGACGCTCTTGCGATGGTATAACTACGGAAGTGACGAACTGCACCGTACATGGTGATTGGACAAACTGGTCGGAGTGGTCTGCATGTTCGCAGTCCTGTGGCATTGCGGTGAAGACGCGCCGGCGCACGTGTGGCAATCCGAAGCCAGCGCATGGCGGTCGTACTTGTGTAGGGGACGATCATCAAGAGATGTACTGTCGTCATTTGCCACCTTGCCCCACGCCCAAATTGCAAGCAATCGATGGTGGTTGGGGTCCCTGGGGAGTGTGGAGCGAATGCAGCGCGAATTGTGGCGGCGGTTTTCGCATACGTCGCCGTGAATGTAACGATCCGGCGCCACAGAACGACGGCCAGGAATGTCCTGGCTGTGCCATCGACTACGAAGTATGTAATGTGCACGCCTGTCCCGAAGTGAAGAAACTGAGCTCCTGGACGCCCTGGTTGGTAGACTACAATGACAGCCATAAGAGCGCCGAAGCAAGTGGCACGTACGTTGAGCGTCGATTTAGATATGCCTGCCGTGGCAGCACAACTGACTTGAATAGTTTGCGTTTAACATTGGCGAAGGAAGAAACGCGTACATGCCACGCGGATGGCAGTTGCCAGCGACACCACGAAGTGTACGGCGGCTCGACAGCAGCAGTTGCCATACCAGCAGTGTCGGAGGAACGTGAAGAGCATGGCGAATGGGGTCCGTGTAGTGCCAGTTGCGGCGGGGGCATGCAATATCGGCTACATGATGCCGGCAGTGGTGGCAAGCATCGGGGACGCCATGCCACACAGGCACGTGTGTGTAATATACAACCTTGCGAAGAATCTTCAGTGCTACCGGCGGCGAATCTAAATGAGGTAGTCCTAGCGCACGAGTGGAGTTGTTGGACGGATTGGTCACCATGTTCGGTGACATGCGGTATGGGCATAAAGCGCCGTACGAGGCGTTGCTTAGGTGGACACGATAAGTTGTGCAATGGCAGGGCGATTGAGGAGGAGAAATGCGCTATGGCGCCGTGTACTGGTGAGTGAAGCAAATTAAGAGGTTTTTCTTCACATGTAATGTGAATAAATTTTTTTTTTTTAACTTGCAGATTTCGTGGGTTGGAGCACATGGAGCGCTTGGTCGGAATGTACTAGCGATGGCATACGCATTCGACACCGCAAGTGCATGGTCGATGTGCCCTCAGCGAACGAGTGTCGTGGTGCCGAATTCGAGAAGACTGCTTGTGTGCCGAACGAATATGAAGGTGAGTTTAAGGACATCGACAATGTTCGCCAATACATTTCATGAGCATGAAATGGTATTATAACTTTAGTCTGATGTTTGTAAGTACCAGAATAAGTAGAGATAGACCCACTAAAATGTATACTTATTTGACCAGAACGTCGAGCTGAGTCGATTTAGCCATGTCCGTCTGTGCGTCTGTATGCAATCTAGTCTCTCAGTTTTCGAGATATCCGGATGAAATTTGATAAGTGGGTGCATTTTTAAAATGTGAACCAGAAAAATCGGACCACTATAACAAATAGCTCCCATACAACTGATTGTTCAGATATGACATTTTTCGTTATAACTCCTCCACTTAAGCAGCTAGGAACATGAAATTTCGCACTATTTCCACCCATTACAAGCAAAATACTTACAGTGAACCATGAAAAGAAGTAGCATTATTATGGAATTTTGGAAAATGGGCGTAATACCGCCTACATTTAACTACATAAGTTTATCGAAGATGTTTGAAATAGGGATGCACCCCTGCTTACCATGTAACGGGAGTTTTCGGAAAGGTGAAAAAACTCGAACGTTCGGCTACTCCCGAATTTAGACTTTTTTTATTTGTTTAGATATGATTTTTTATACATATGCAACGTACTTAACTCCTCTATCTATGTATGCTGTGGATATAAAAATTTCGTTTAGCTCTCGAACGACTTATTTTAAATGCAGTAATATTTTGAAGTGAAATTTTCTGATGTTCATGAAAGGTATGAGGCCCTCGGCATAGCCGAAGACAGCACTGCTCTTACTTGTTTGAAGTAAATTACTGTTAGAAATACATACATATCTACATATCTTACTTAATTTAGTAAAATTTTTCGCTTTCAGCCGCTCGCCTATCTTCCACCACTTCTTGGCCCTGGATCATACTGCTAGTATCTATAGTCTACGTCATCACCATTATCGGAACATTCTATCTGACCAAACGATTCATGAAGCCTGTCGACTTAGTATTGAATAAGAACAACACGCCTGTTGCGCCCAGCTACGATTCGTATGCCAATCAGTATTCCAGTCTGCCGACAAAGGACGTGAGTTTTCATATTTACTCCCACAATCCATTTGTTGCTTTCTAAATATCCGCAGTCTTTAAATTTACAGATCTATGAGGTGCGTCCGAAAGTAAAGCGACAATCAAGTTTCAACATGTGCTCACCATCGCCATCGAAAAGCTGTAATACTGGTACGCTGACTCGAAACAACATGGCACACAATCATACACCTAAGGTGTTGGCAAAGACTTACAATGACTGCGAGACGGGTACACTGAAAAGGAATTCACATCAGCTGAACAATTACCGGTCGAATATTGACGACGAGAAGTTCTAGTGGTACGAAGCCAATACAGGAAGGCATCACAATGGCTTAGCGTTGGGAAGAAGACTTTAGGAGTCATCTAAAATCATTGACTTATAGCGCTTAGGACGTTAAAACTTCCCGGCTGAATAGTAGTGCCTTTTATAGACTAAGTAAATTCGTCGTACCTTTGGTCGCTCAAATGTGCTCTTCGCTGCTTGGCAGCTTGTTAAGATGTGTCTTTAACTAGTTAGGTAACCACTTTACTTTTTAAGAACATGTGAGACTCTGGAATATTCTATAGTATCATTTTGTGTGCCATTAGAGCGCTAAGTCTGCCACAAAACAAACAATCAAACAAAAAAATAATTACAAGAAATATGTAGAAATAGAGATCATATTCAGCTCGAATATGTTTTTCGAAATGTTGATCTACACTAAAATAAGATTTTTGTTTGCAAATGTTGTTAGAAGCGCTTTGCTAAGAGAAATTTTGTGCAGTGAAGTGCATTTAGTTGTAAGCCGGAAATGACTCATATTGAGTATAGATTTTGAATTAGTATAGAATTATGTATTTTTATATGCATACATATGTATATTTACAAATTAGTAAATAAGTTAGCTAAATTAAGTTGTAAATACAATACAATAGCAAACTGAAATGTAAAAAATTAATTTTAGCTGCCATCTTTGCTTAACATTACACAACAAGTTCTTAATTTTTCTTAGTTTTATTTATTTTTATTTGAAGTTGCCTATGTATGTATATTTTTTTGTGTAATTCCTATTTGTTGACAAACATATTTTCCAAAAAATTAACTGCAATGATAAAATTTCGCTCAGGTATGGCGAACTCTATCCTTTCTGGAATGAAATAAAAGTAAATGACCCCAAATTAAGGATTTTTTTATTTTTCTGTTCTTATTTTTTGTTTTTTTTTTTAAATTATCTGTTGAGTTAAAACATTTTTAATATGTACCTATTTAATTTTTCTCATAACGTTTAATTATTTTTCTATATTAATTCACGGAAACATTTTTTATTTTTTTGTTATAATAAGTGAAACTAGGGGCCTAAATAATAAAACTACGTCTTTAGTTTTTCTCTCTGACGTAAAGATTTTTCTTAAAAGGACATCGAAATTTTAAAGATATTAAAAAAAGTTAAATCAAAAATTAAAATTTATTAAAAAAAACTCTGTAAATGTAGAATAACAATATTGGATCATATAAAAACGAAAAATCTGTAGAATTAAAAAAATTTAAATTTTTTGTCCATAAGGACGAGTAGGCGCAGGAAACGTCCTTATCAAATCTTATCCTTGAGTATCCTTGAAAATTTGCAATATGTATTTTTGAAAAAAGAAAATGTATATCAAGGACTAATATACGCCCGACATTCTCAAATTTCGCCCTTCTAACTTTATTAGCTTAAAAAAATAAAATTATTAAAAAGTCATTTTAGCATCTATTCGTCCTTGTGAACCAAAAAACTTATTTTAATTCAAAAGAGTTTTCTCTTTCATTTGGTATCCATATTATTATTATATATTTTCTAATTTTTTTTTTTAAATTTACAATATCTTTGAAATTTCCAAGCCTTCACCTACAGCCTGCCAAACACACACCAACAGCCTGCCAGAAATAACGGTAAGAAGAAGAGTTTCATTACTTATGGAACTGTACGATACATTCGGCTGCCTTATACTCGAATTTCAAAAAAAAACTTTCAAATGAGGTAGTGTCAAAATTTGTCTTCTCGCTCGAATTACTTCACCTGGTATAATTCCGCTATGTGTTAGCAAAACTCATTTAATTAAATTTAAAATTGTTCAAAATTTTCAATTATTTGGGACACAGTAGTCCTTTTTTAATTATTGCATTTTTTTTAAATTTTTTTATTATTTATTACCTATTATTCATAGTTTATTCAGATATGTTTAAAATGCTGCCTTTAATTTTTAAAAATTTTCGTTCTTCACAAATGTTCAGTTTTTGAATTTTCTAAGAATGTTTAATCATTTCTAGTACAATTTTTTCTGCTATTTTGTACATCATTTCTAGTAGTAGTCAGTTTTATATACATGCCTGAAAATTCTTGTTTATGTGTGGCTTAAAATGCTAATTTATTTATGTTCTTAAAAACTGTCCATTCTTGAAAATAATGGATATTTCTTTAAACTGGTTTAAACCTTTTAAGTTTTGAAACTTTGATTGGAATTTTTCAAGTTTAAGGAAATCCCATTAAAATTCTAATTTCCGATTCTAGCTATATATTTTTGGACTAAATTGTTTAGCCATCAATTTAATACCAAATGAGAAAATTTTTTTCTTGTGAATTTGTGCTAATTAAATTTAAATTTTAATTTGCGTTCAAAATTGTGTTAAAATTTTAAACAAACTCTTTTCTATAGTTGGTATTTAGGGAATTCATAAGACGTATCAAGCGGCGCAATGTCTTAAAGACTTAACATATTTCAAGGTCAAATAACGGATAAAAAATATTTTAGAGAATTTTTAACGCAATGTTTTTAAACTGCTATTAAATATCTATGTATATAAATAGCTTTCACCATACACTGTGGATCCCCAAAAACCATTTTAACTATTACTATACCCAAAAATACTTTCAAGACATTACGACGCGTAACACGTTTTGTGAATCGCTCAATTGTCTGAGTGAAATTAGCGAAAAGTAGTATTATGATTTTATTTAAGCTAGCTTTAGCTAAAACTCCTAGATTTACTTTTTTGGTTCTTAAATGTATATAAAAGCAGCTAAGATTAAGAAAATTTAGTTTCCGTTTAATAAAAAGTGTAAATATACACACATGCATATATAGTATGTAGATACATTTTGTCAATTAAGTTGCTGTATATTGAGTAAAACTTAATAAAAAAAAAAAAAACATTTTGATGTCACTAACAAAATATTTACACCGAAATTCATAAATAATAAAGAAGACTTTAACTGCTTTATAAATCGAAAATTTGTATGAAAATGTCACTTTATAGAGCTCTATAAACCTTTGTATTTTTTATGAATAAGTCTTTTATTTTACCGGAGCATTCCAGAAATCGTATAGTTTTGTAAGATTTATTTTCTCTCGTATATTGGTATTTTTTATTTGCAGCTTTCCAAAAATATTTTTTTTTTCCATTTCAATCTACCATCGCACATCGTATTTGGCCGATTCATATATATACGTTCTCTGGTTTAACCGCATCTTTACTCTCAATTAGAGATGGGCCGGCACGAGTGCAAAATCAACTTTCAAAAACACGCACAAGCCCGCACGTTAAGAATTTTAGTGGGGCCCGGCCCGGCACGACGGGACACGCCCCAGCCCGGAAATAAAGAGCCAAATTTTATTGTATGTATACATATCGAGCTCTAACCGCCAAAATAACGTAAGCGAAATCTTTTTCAAAATTTTCTTTTTGATGCAGAAATATTCATCGATTATCTAGATACATTTCTGCATCAAAAAGAAAATTTTGAAATAAATGTCGCTTACGTTATTTTAGCAGTTAGGGCTCGATATGTACATATTTTTAATTTTGTGTTTATGTCCATATGTATATTTACTTAAGCGAATCAATAATTTACATCAAAGATTTTTATAATATATTTTCTGGGAAGTAGAAAAAGTGGAAGGTATTTTATGTACAGATATGTATGTAAACAAAACTATTAAATATCATATATTTTTTATCGGTTTCCAAATATTTTTTTTTTTTGCTTTTCTCTTATCAAAAGAGATTTAAATATGTACTATTTTTTTTTTTTTTGTATAAAGACAAAAGCTCGTCTAAATTTTTAGTATAAGCAACGGCGTTTTTCGTGCCTTTTCGTGCTTTTATGAAATTTTACTGAACGCCCAGGCCCGCACGAGTTCGTGCTGACAGCAAATATTCCGGCCCGTATCCGGCTCAAGCCCATCCGTACTCTCAATTATCTTTTACTTTGCGGAATATTGTTAATACAGTGGCTACTAAATATTGATGGTTATATAATTTCGCCTAAGAGTATGGCTTGATTTTAAGAAGCGGAAATACAAAACTAGTTAGTCGGTAGGGCAGTGCCATATCATTATCGGTTTGAGGGGCTATGTACTAGCACAGTGTTAGTCAAATGTTAACACTAAAAAAATGTACTGATAAGGTAGTCGGTAAAACAGTGCGTGCCACATCTGTATCGGTTTGAGCTATGAGCACAAAAAGGAAACGCAAACAAAGGTTGCAAATTCGCAGGGCGCACTTGATGATTGTTTTTTTCGTCATTCTGTTATTCGAAAAAATTTTTTTGATGATGCATTTCCGAACGTGCATATATATCATTAAAGCCTTAACTCCAAATGTACTGAAATTCACCAATCCTTTCACAAAAATCAGTTTTTTGAAATTTTCTTTATAAATCAAATATTTTGACAATTTCTTCTTCTTCTTCTGTCGATTCTTTTCTCGCGGGTCTTTTCCAAGATTAGGCGTATTGTGAATACCTGGTCTATGGCGGATTTTCCAGGCCTAAAGCCACACTAATAAGGCCAAATCAGTTCATTGACGGCGGGCTTCAGTCTTTCACACAATACGCTCGATAAGACCTTGTAACCTATGCTTAGAACGCTGATCCCGCGGTAGTTGGCGCGAATGGCTGGGTCGCCTTTCTTGTGGATTGGGCAGATCACACTTAAATTCCAGTCGTCGGGCATGCGTTAATCTGACCATATTCTGCATAAGAGTTGATGTGGAGCTAGAAGCTTCGGTTAATTAAACACAACGCCTGCTTTATCGATTACATATTATATACGTGATGTCGAAATCGACGACAATCATGTTTAACTGGGAAATAGTTATAACCAGACTTTGTACGACCGGCCTTTAGACATCGGAATTCTATGAAGTTTTAATATGTACATATGTTGAACTTGAAAGCTTAAACTCTGCTGTTTATTTTTTGGCATGTTATATATACATATCGCTGGTTTGCTAATATAAAGAATTATTTAAAAACTTCAATTTTGTTAGAAAACGCAATCAAAGTTTGAATAATTCATATAGTTGGCATACAAAATATAGATGGAAAGACACATAACTTCGCCCTATTTGGAATGTTGCCTTATCTGTTAGACTGAACATATTCCCCTATACAAGATTATTAATTATTAATTCTGTATATTATTAAATGTGCGTTATGAACTAATTTATATATATAATATAAAATAAATTTGCTTGGGCGTTTTCTCAAGTAACTTCTAAAATTTATTTGCCCTTCAAACATTTGTTTTGAGAACAAAATTTGTATCTATGTAAAGGGCCGACAAATTTGAAAATTGACTTGTGAAAAAGGTCTTAATATATTTAGTGCGGTTTTCTCATGTAGGTTTTAAAATTTAAAACCTACTTGAGAAAACGGGCCTTAAGCTATTACTTCGAGCTTTCCTTATAGCAAGCTTCCTTTTTTCGCAATTTTTTTTTTATTTATAAGTTCTAATATACGATCCGTTCGAATTCGACCAAACGAGTTTCCAGGTGATTCACTCGTGCGACTTTTTCAATCATGCTGGAAAACGTAAAAAGAGCTGCCAATCTGAATCGCAGCGGTACCATATATGTATATAGTAAAAGAACGATGCGAAAATCCACTTAAGCATTTTTAAAGTTTTGTAAAGCACAAATTTGTCAAAATATGCAACCCTATGGAAAAACTGCAAAAATTTTTGAATTTAACGGCATCGCTGTGAGTTATAAATAATAATAATAATAATAATAGATTGGCGCTACCACATATGTTAGTGTTTGGCCGAGACTCTCTTCCGAGTTATAAATTGCCCATATAAAAAGATCGGTTAAGTAGTTTTTGAGATACGCATATGTAATATATAAGTGGGCGGTGCTACCCCCATTTACCTAAAATTTCTTGAAAAATCACTTGTTTGCTAA